GTACCGAACCACCCCTAGGGCTGAGTGTTTTGGGGGGGGGGGGGGTTGGGGGTGAAGGGGTGAGGGGTGGAAATAATTAGAAAAGCTAAATAAAAAAAATAACCCCACCCGACCCCGACCCCGGTCCCGGTGGAATCCCGGGCCGGTTCCGGGCCTATACCCACAAACAAAAAGCCCGATTTGGACCGGCCCGGAACCGGTCCATGCTTACATAAAATTACTTTGCACAAAAACATAATATGTATTACTCCGTATGCAAAACACTCTTGTACATGTAGTTATACAAGATTTATCCATATTTACATTGATCCTAAGGGAGTACCAATGTACCATACGCGCAACATGCTGATCGCATGGTATTACAATTGTGTTCAGATTGTTCAAAGTAATTGATTTAAATTTGTTTTGGGATTTATTATTATTATTTATTTCATTAAAAAACTCACATGACCTGCCATCGATTTCTTAAAAAGGAGAGTTTAACCGGGATAATCATCTTTTTACTTGGACTTATTTTAGTCTCAAACAATAATCAGAACATATCAGACTAGACTTAAACAAATCAGACTAGATTTTGACAGTTATAAAATACAAAGAGACCAAACAATTATCGGACTAGACCAACCCAGTTCAAACCAGATCAGACTGAAACAAACAAGGCCACATCAGAAAATTTCAGTGCAATTAAAAACATCATAACTTAACATGGTTGCACCTTGAACTAATTCTATTTTTCGGTGAATAAATACTTCATGTTTTCAATTAATTCAAATTAAACATAATTTAATCAAATTATGTTTAATTTGGTTAAAAGTATTAGGTGGTCTGGCCCGGTACAAACGGGCCACCTCATATATCCAATCCCGCCCAGCTGAGCGGGCCAGACTATCAATTGGGCCACATAGCCCTGAAAATTGATCTGCTCTAGCATCTAGGTCTTCTTTGTGTAGATGAATAGTTTAATAAAATAGCGTAATCCCTTTTAAGAATACTGGGTGGGGTCGATCCAATAGGAGCACATTGCGAGGTCGAATGTGTAAACTTTTGACACATCCTTTATAAAGTCCCTCACTTTTTACCCCTCCCTCCCTCTCTCTCATCTCTCTCTCTTCATTCGATAATTGTCCCTCACTCTCTGTTCTTTCTGTTTTTTTCCTCCCATTTTCATTACATTCACATCCACCATCACCATCCTCATCTTCCCCACCCCATCTTCCACTTTCATCTACCTAACCATATTTATCCTACTCCATCTTCTCCATCTTCGGTATTCAACTATTCATTACCATCATCTTTCTACCCTCATCATTTTATATTATAGGATCGAAAAAAATAAAGTTCAAGACTCGTTGGAAAGTCGCGAGAAAGTCGCCGGAAAAAGTTTATATAGTGTTTGTGTGCCTCAACAAATTTCCTTAGGCACGAGCAAAAATGTAGAAATTGTTTGTGCACAAATAACTAATATCTTTGCACACATTGATTTTTGTGCAACTGAACTTTGCCAATTCTAAAAATTAAAATGTCTGACAACAATAAAAGTAATCAATAGAAAAATAAAGAGTCTGCTCATGAAAACTAAATAGCAAGCAAACGGTAAAATTAAAATGTTGCTTCCAAACCGTAGACTCTCTTGCACTTCATGGCGGCGGTTCAGAAGTGGGACGATGCAGCAGTATTGTAGCTTCTTCCTCACCTTGCCTCTTATTCATCATGTTCTCTATCAAGCCTCATATGTTACCACCTAACACGGATTACCTCGAATCCAGAACTGTTTCAGCCTCTAGCCCCACGCTTCGTCCATGACCTTATGATCTCAGTCATGAACGACATCCTCAAAACTTTCCACCTGCTGCCAGGGGTGCACCACCTTTGACCGCCGGAGACCAACCATCCGTCTTGCGTCCATGCACAACCTTCGGCCGCCAGAGTCCGCTGGGGATCTTACTCTCAATCATTGCAAGATCCAGTCCTCCCTACCTATACACCTCTCTCTTCCCTCCACTTAATCTCGGCAAAGCAAAAGAATGAAAAATAGTCGCACAATTGATGGCGAAAGAAGAAACCCTACGTAGAGAGAACACAGCCGCCTCTCTATCTATGGGAACTTAATACTCCGTATTTTGTTATTATATTAAAAAGTCTTAACTTTTCTTGAATAATAGGTATGTCGAGATTGAGAACACGTCCTGGTTCACAATTTATAAATATGCTCTGTCGAGAGGTGAAAATATTTACTCTATAATGTTACATTGCATCCATTTGTGTTATAAGAACTTCAAATGTAAAGATAAACCAAATTGGAAATTATGATGTTTCTAGCTGAATTTGGCTGGATTGGCTAAATCTGTTGAAATTGATGAGTTCTGATTAAAGCAATGCAGCTGAAGTGACTTAATATGCTGAATTAGGTCATCTATAACAATCACCAAAACCTCCACCAAAATTGGGGAATTGTCATTTTTTTGCTCCATTAGTTACACCAAATCCTACACCATTTCACTAAAGTGGTGGAGGGGTTGAGATTTAACGCCATATCATCTTCCCTTTTTATTATTTTTTCTTTTTGCAAAAATGACCCAATTTTTGGGTTGTTATAGTTTTGACCCATTTTTAAAACAACAAATTTAAATTTTAAATTTGATAATAATAAAAAAAGAGACAATATTATAAATAAAGTTTCAAATTGAAACAACATAATAACATAATACAAATAATACTTAAGAAATAACATAATTAAAATTACAATTAATAACACGATTAATGATGTACAAATTATTATAATACTACCTCTGTCCCTTAAAACTTTGCCAAAGTTGACCGGTACGGAAAATAAAAAAGTAAAAATTATGTGGTTGAGGTTTGTGCAGATGAGAGAGAAATAACAGAAACTACAAAATAATTTATTAAAAGGGAAAGTGACAAAATTTTTTGGGACGTCCCAAAAAAGAAAGAGGCAAAGTTTTAAGGGACAGAGAGAGTATTATTGTAATATTTACTTTTATATGGTTTCAGCTTGTATTTGTGAAATACTCCTTATTGATTATAGTAGTATTTTAGCTTGTATTTGTGAAATAATGAGTGAAATGCCAAAATACATATTTAACGAGGGGCTAATGTATAAATATATGATAATTAGATAATTAAATATAATAATGGTAAAAAGTTAGTAAAAAGAATAAAAAAGAATATTCTTTTTTAGTACTCCCTCCGTTCCTAAAAATTCTTCCCGGTTTGACTTGGCACGCCTATTAAGAAAGTGGAATAAAGTGAAATTGTGTGGTTGTGGTTGTGTGAGAAAAAAGTAAAATGAATGTGAGCCACACAAATTGTCCAAAAAGGGAAAGTGGGAAGAATTTTTGGTAACGGCCCAAAAAGGAAAGTGAGAAGTATTTTTGGGAACGGAGGGAGTAATAAAGTAGTGTATGATGTTATATTTACCTTACATCATTGGTTATGCGAGAGAGGAGGTGCAGCCTGGCTCTAGTCCCGCTCAGCATGATTGGGCATAGTACCTTTTGGCTCCGCCCTCCCCCAATTCCCGCTCAAAAATTTTAAGGAACCATATGTGACTCCCTTATGGAGTCACATGGGGTTGTGTGACATTATCCCTACCATTCACTTTTTTAGTGGAGGGCCCCACTAAATAAATAAATGATAGAGATAATGTCACACCACCCCATGTGACTCCTTAAGGGAGCCACATGCGATTCCATAAAATCACTCAATTCCCGCTTGGCCAGGTGTATGTCGCTCGGAATGAGCCCTTGTGCGTGTATGGATCCTTGTAATGGAATTGTAACGGCCATGTCACCACTCGTGTCAAATCATCATTGCCGCCTCTTACAAATTTCATGTTTACTCCCTCCGTCCCATTGGACTTTGTCAACTTTACCTTTTTTGTTGTCCCAAAAAATTTTGTCACTTCCTTATTAAAGATGTTTTTATTTGGACTGTAATTTGCTGGTCTGGTTTCTTTGTATTTTTATAACTATCCAAGTCTGGTCTGGTCTTGGGCAAATTACAATCCAAGTAAAAACATCCTAAAACAACTAATTTGTGGTTCCATACATTTCTCTCTCCTCTGTACAAATATCAACCACACAATTTTTACTATTCTTGTTTCTCACCTATTTTGCACTTGGCAAAGTCCTCCGGGACAGAGGCCGTATTTTTTTTCATCTTTCACTTCATTTACCACTTCATAATTTCATATTATCACATGTCCGAGTGTCTTAACATTAAAAAATTTTAAAAAAATGGTGCAATTGTACATGTCACGACATAAAATTTTGATGTCGCCGGTGAATTAGTGAATCATACGTATGAAAAAATTGACATGAAATTGCAAAAGATGCCAATGATGATTTGACACGATTCAAATGACAAGGATAAGAGTACTTATATTGGGACAGAAATGTAAAGATATCCCAAATTGAGAATTAACATTTAAAAATACCCCTCCAAGAAAAAAGACTTGAACTGATTAATATGGATTCATGAAATCAACTTATCAAGTGGCTAGGGCATTTGGAGACGATATCATGCAATTTTATTTGGCACCCTAGCCAACTGCCAAAGTAAAAAAAAAAAAAAACTTCCATAGAATTCTTGATTTAACTTCTCAAATAAGAAGTGATTTGAGCAGCTAGCAGCATATATATTGTAAAACTTTTTTGGTAATTAGAATTATCTCTATTATTATGTCATGCAATAATAATATATTAGAATTCGATAATTATTCTTTTATTTATTTCTCGTTTTGGCATTGATACATTAGATCAATTCATAATAGTCGATCTCAAAATATTTTCGGATTAATGTTTAGAGGTTGGTTGTATTATCTCATGCAAGATTCGTTATTTGGAGAAATATAATGTATGTATGTATGCTTGTGAAGACATTGGTTTAAAGACGACAATGCAACCCATGCCTTGACCCTCACAAGCGGTCCTACTCCATTAATACAATGAGAAGACTCCATTTCTTCTTATCCAGCAAAACCCACCCCACCAATGTTTTTTCCGGGCACTCTCTTCTTCTCCAGGCCATCTCGATCATAATAGCTAGCAAAGAAATAATTAAAGGGTACGGTCATGTCAGTGGTTTGGAGCAGGGAAGAAGAAAAGGCCTTTGAGAATGCGATCGCGATTCACTGGGTTGAGGATTCAAAGGAGCACTGGGACACGATTGCTTCGGTTGTTCCCAGCAGAACAGTTGAAGAGTTGAAACGACATTATGAATTGCTGGTCGAGGATGTTTGCGATATTGAGGCCGGCCGCGTTCCGCTCCCCACTTATGATTATCATGCTCAACACCAATCCGCCACTTCTCATACTGTTGCCCGTTCTGGCGGTGGCGGAGCCGCCCACGACTCCGCCAAAGGCGCCTCCCGCTCCGACCAAGAACGTCGTAAAGGGATTCCATGGACTGAAGAAGAGCACAGGTATACATGTTCCTTTCTTCCCGAATTTTTTTTGGACGATTTCCTTAAATTAATTCTGTATTTAATTTAATTTATGAGCTACTTACTTGTAATGAGTGGGTTTGGTTCATAACGCTAGTGGTGGGCTCCGAACCGATTGTGTTGTGGCAGCCTCCGACGAATCAGCTATGGATGTTCCTCCAATTATAGAAAAAGTAAAAGGTTAACACCATCAATTATTAATGGTATCCCTCTCACTAACATTAGGTTGCGATTATTAAGAAAAAATGTGTTTATATAATTGAGTAGGTAAAATAAGAATAAAATAAAAAATTATTTGAACTAATTTTTTTTATATCAAATATCGTAGTACGTAGCCCATCCTAATGGAACGGAAGTAGAAAAAAAAAATAGGACACTTTTAGCGGCACAAATGAAGTGCGTAGTAATACAAAATCCAAAATGGAAAATGTGTGAAACTATAATATGCAAAGTCTTTGTTAGGATATTTTATTTTGAACTGAACTTTGCTCGTCTGATTCACAAAAGCTCTGGACGAGAAAAGAATCCAGTTCCTGGTTTCTAAATTGGGAATGCTGAATTATGTTTTTAATCAGCGTTCAAGTGTAGGGGAGTAATTTAATTTACTTGTTGTGATAGTTAATTTAGTTTATTTTTTATTGAGTCAGTTTCCTGGTCATTAATTTTTTTCCCTAAAGTGTGCATACATTTAGGGGGAGCAAAAATGCAAAATTAGTCTGGTCTGTTTAAGTGTGATCTAGTTTGAATTAGTCTGGTCTAGTAAATGTCTGGTGTCTATGTATCTTATAACTATCCAAGTCTAGTCTGGTCCGATTTGGTCTGTTTAAATCTGGTCGAATCTGATCTTGGAGTGAAACGAAACCATTCTTTTACACTTTTATTTTATCATCAAAACGGCTTTTCATTAATATAGAGCAAACATGCAAGACAAAATTCAGACAGCTATTACAGATCCAATCGTAAGCCCTAGGAATAGACTTAGAATCAGCCACCCATACAAATCAACTTGACTCGCTAGACACAAAACGGGCAAGAAGAAGCCTAAAACGATCGAAAATGAAGCACTGTCTATCAAAAGTTCTTCAAAATCAAAATACTCCAACCATACCTACTCGAACTGAAATAAAAACAAGTACTACGAAAGGAAAAATAATACGAAAATAAAAACTTTCCCCAAATTGCTTCTTCGCACCGAGGTGGTTCCGAAGGAGGGCGAGCTGGTGTAGTACGGTACGTAGAAGAGAATTTCAACCCCCGGAAAATTCGTCTGAAACCCTATCCTTCTTGCGCTCGCCAATTTGCTCTTTGAGATTTTCCATTGAAATCCATGTCCGAGGTGCAGAAGAAAAATCTATCAAGTTGCCTTGTGTTTCTTCACTCCCAAAAACCCAAACCGCACCCCACCGCTCTTGCATTCCATGAAAACCCCAGCCGCACGAACGAAGCATGATATGCGGAACAAAAAACTCTAACTAGTGTATGGAAGACGACAGCTCCTCGAAAGAATCGATAGCGGAGAAGAAAACCCTAGTGACGGAAATTCCGCCCAAGAGAGAGGAGATCTCAATTGTCGTGTATAATAATTTCTTAAAGCCCTGAATAGCCCATGGCTGCGGTGACAATTCAGAGAGACCAAGCAGCAATCATTCTTTTACTCTTTTTTTTGGCGCAATTAAAACTAGGGGTGGGAAAAACCGAACCGAAACCCGGAAACCGACCCTGGACCGACCCGAATTATGATCCCGGTCTGGGTTTTTTCTTTTTAACCGGCCCGAATTAAAGAAAACCTGGACCGAACCGAAAATTCCGGGCTCATTAACGGGCCTTAAAATCTATAACCCGGCCCGGACCGAAAAAACCCGAAACAATTAGTTTTAATATAAAATTAATATAGTATATGATATAAATAAAATATTTCCTAATATATGATTATAATCACAGTGGATAAAAAAAGATTTAGTAACTTTTAGTGACTACAAATATATTGAATTTGTTTAGCGTAATGATGACCATGAGAATATATTTATAGCAATTCTAGTAACTTTTTTATTTATAAAATTTATTTCATAATATTTTTCAGAAACCTATATTATTTATATATATACATCTTACATAAAATATTAAGATAATTATCTTCTTTAAATTTGAATTGTTGGTGATTTTGGAGACTAATATTTGTGTTATTATTTGTGGTTTGTATTTTTGATTAATTTTATTTGAAAATAAGTGTTAAAATATAAAAGAATAATGACATATTTTACGTTCGGGTTTTAACCGGTCCAACCCGAACCCGGGCTACAAAAAAACCCGACTCAGACCGAATATAATGGGCTTTGTTCCGGTCCCTAATTTTCATAACCCGAGACCTTCCGGGTTATTTCCGGGTTTAGCAAAAACCCGACCCAGACCGGACCGATCCCACCCCTAATTAAAACTAGCTTGTATTAATCAAATCATGGTTTAATGAAAACAAATTACAATCAGGAGGAGAATCAACCCAAATATTGCAATCAGTCAAAGAACCCGCAGTTTTAGCAAGTGTATGAGCTACATGATTCGCTGATCGCTTCACGTGATTAAAAGTAATATCATTAAAGGTATTAGCTAATTCTCGAATGTCCTCCGCGAGAACCCCAGCAGAAGAATCATCACAGCAACCTTTGATTAAATTAATCACTTGTAGTGCATCGGTGCATCCGACTCGAGATCCAAACGATCCCATCCCGCTGACTTCAACCAACTGAAGCAGCGTCTTCTTTTACTCTTAAAAAGGAGTAAAGGGTCAGTTTGGTCCTCGAAGTTGCAAAAAAAGGGGTCAAATAAGTCTTTATATAGAAGATTCTGTCCGGACGTGCCATTTGAGGTGGCTCCCGGTAGAATTTTTTGATGAAAATTTTTGAGCATCTTATTCATTAAGTCTAGTTTACTCATACCAAATTTCAGCTAAAAATTCAATCGGGGAGACATTCAAATGAATTCTTGAAGATAAATGCGCTTTTAACGGCACAGTTATCTTCAAGAATTCATTTGAATGTCTTCCCGATTGAATTTTTATGTGAAATTTGGTATGCGTAAACTAGACTTAATGAATAAGATGCTCAAAAAATTTAATAAAAAAATTCCACCGGGAGCCACCTCAAATGGCACGTTCGGACAAAATTTTCTATATAAGGACTTATTTGACCCCTTTTTTGCAACTTCGAGGACCAAACTGACCCTTATCCCCTCTTAAAAAGTGTATTCATAATTAATAAAATTAATAAAAGTGTCTTCATGTTTGATCTTATTTGATCTTTACATACATGTGTACAAGATGGTTTCTTTACATAGGAGTTTCTTTATATTTACTTAAATAGGAGTGAAGTATTGTCAGTTTAAAATAAAATTATCATACTCCGTATTATATATACTTCTAGATTTCAATAGTATGTGAGAATTAAAAATACTCAGTAGTTAATTGGCGATCGATTCAATTCTTGTGTATAACCTTTCTCTAAAATGTAACTTAGGTAATCTCATTTCATATTCATACATTTTTTAGTAATAGTGAACATTATACAAAATTAATATTTTGGAAAATTCACATTAGTAGAATTTAAGGATAATTTGTGCATAATAATTTGATTAGGTATATTAGTAGAAAATCATGGTCAAAGTAAGGTGTGTGAAAAGTGTAAAAAAATCAAAGTGTTGCAACTGTTAAGGAACGGAGGAAGTATATTACAAATAAAGTTAAAGAAAAGTTTAGGAATGTGAAAAAAACTAAAGTAAACTCTTCCGTCAAACTTACTTATTTTGATTATCACACAATTCAGCATACTAAATCAAAAGTTCAATGTTTGGTTGAAAATTGTATGATAAGAAAATAATTATGTAAGGAAATAAATTTCCCTTTTGATTTCTAGGAATACCTTTCTTACTGAGAGTAAGTTTTACTGTGAATTACATGTTATGTTTTGACAATGTTTAACAATGTTTGGCTTCTTATTTTGACTTGGTTTAGAAATATCGACAATAAGAAAGAATGAACTTGGCACGAGTATTATTATTATTATACATATCAATTAAAATGATTACATCAACATTTGTCCCACTGATTTTGGTGATTTATCTATTGAGAATAAAAAAAAGTCATAGTATGTGATTCAAGGTTTCTTATATTTTACAAATTTAGTACCCCGAATAAAAAAATAATTTTATTTCCTAAATCTGTGCAGCACATCTCCTCCTGAACTTAATGGGCAGAGGGAGTAATTAATTTCACATTAATCAATGAGTAACCATATATATGACATCAGGGTGAATACTTCCATTGTCCAAAAATAATAGGCTAAAGAGTCAAGAACTTTCTTAAAAAGTGGAAATACACCCATTGTATAGGAGGCTCTGTCCGGCCGTTGCCAATTGGGGCAGTTCTCGATGGAATTTTTTATGAAACTTTTTGAGCATCTTCTTCATTAAGTCTAGTTTACTCATACCAAATTTAAGCTAAAAATTCAACCGGGAAGGCAGTCAAATGAATTTTTGAAGATAACTGCGCAGTTAAACAGTGCAGTACATTTCAGAAAATCATTTGAGTGTCTTCCCGGTGGAATTTTTAGCTGAAATTTGGTATGGGTAAAGTGCTAAACTAGACTTAATGAAGAAGATGCTAAAAAAAAATCATCAAAAAATTCCACCGAGAACCGGCCCAATTGGCGACGGCCTGACAGAGCCTCGTATATAAGGGATGATTTGCACTTTTTAAGAAAGTAGATATAAAACTTGTCATTGCTTTTGATAGAAGGTAGAAATAAAATATAAAAACGAATATGTGCAGGTTATTTCTGCTTGGTTTGGACAAGTTTGGGAAGGGAGATTGGAGAAGCATTTCCAGGAATTATGTGGTTTCCAGGACGCCAACGCAAGTTGCTAGTCACGCGCAGAAGTACTTCATCCGTTTAAACTCAATGAATAGAGACAGGAGGAGAAGCAGCATACATGACATTACCAGCGTAAGCGGCAGCGGCGACGCATCGCCTCACCAACCACCGCCCATCACCGGCCAGAACCCCAACACCACCTCCCACGGGATGGGCATGTATGGAACGCCCGTAGGTCATCCCGTGGCCGCTCTGCCCGGTCACATTGCTTCTGCGGTTGGGACTCCGGTCATGCTTCCCAGCCATGCCCATCCTCCTTATGTTCTACCGGTGGCATATCCGATCGGGCCGCCGCCCAATATACACCAAAAATAAACGTATTCATCTCTTTCATTCAAAATATACATGACCCCCCTAGCTCTCATATGGGCGGATGATCGACCTGCTTCTCACTCAATTTGGGAGGCCAGTCTTAAGTTTGTGCAACTACTGCCTCTAAGGTGTGTTTAACTTAAATTTAATTTTCCTAGTTCTGCAACCAGATGGACAATTTTGTAAGTACATATCGAGTAAGTGTTCTACTTGTTAATTAAGAGGTACTTATAACTGTAAAAGTACATACATAGCACAAGAATATTACGTAGTAACATACATCAGTTTTCTATTGAAATTAAGTTCCATCGTTAATTATTGCTTGGAGAGTTGGAGTTGCATAAAACTTATCATTCCATTTTATATCCTTGTATTACTTGAGTTTTGCTACAAAGTTTTATACGGAGTATTATTCAAAGATACATTTAGATTTAGCATGGTGAGTTTCAACAAATAAAGAAAAGAGTTGTTATTTTACTATACCATTCTTCTAAAAGGAAGAAAAATAGAAGAAAAAAATATCTTCATGCATGTGACTAAAACAACATAAATTTCTCAAATGTATGACTCTATTAGTTATTATTTCCAATATATTGTTCGTGGATGTATGCATTCACCCCATATAGTAAGTCTTTTATTCACCCTATTTAACCCTAAAAATTTGGAGAAGAATTATGACTATCACATAATTCTCACATTTTCTACTCACTATTACTTCACATTAAATAGCATTATTTATTATCCGGAGTATACATGGTAATACAGAGGCAGACATTCTCTCGAAATTGGGGAACGATGCACTGGACGATCAGGCCCGGAGGGAGATTTTGGGAACACCAGCCACCCTGGTGCTCCAGGTGGATGCAGTATCCTTCGCCGAACCAGATTGGGTTACTGAGCTGGCAAACTACATATGGGATTGAACTCTCCCGGTAATTACGAACCCGGTCCATGCCAACAAGCTGAACTTGATAAAGAGGAAGGCCCCGAAATTTGAACTTGTGGATGGACAACTTTACAAGAAGACGTTCGGGGGACCTTATTTGAAGTGCCTCCCGCTCGGCCTAGCAGAGGCAGACATGGAGGGAATCCATGAAGGAATTTGTTCGAGCCACCAGGGCCCGAAAACATTGGAAAGGAAGATCATCTTGCAGAGATATTATTGGCCGATCATCCAGCAGGACTGTTTCCATCATACAAGGAAATGCAAGATCTGTCAACAATATGCTCTGGTGCCCGGACGGCCCGCCAGCTTCTATACACCAATGACCACAGCCATGTTGTTCACTAGGTGGGGATCGACTTGCTAGCGTCCCCACCTACGGCGTCCGGGGGAAGGAAGTACATTATTGTGGGGATAGATTATTTCACCAAATGGGTGGAGGCCCGAGGCCGAACCCTTGACTAGCATTACAGAGTTTCAGTGTAAGCGATTTGTCTGGCAAAACAGTATTGAAGTACAGACTCGGCGGACAGAATTTGAGGAACGCCTCGGGCCTGCCACTCTCTTGGAATATATCGAGCTTGATTCCCCCCCCCCCCCCCACCCCCCCACCCCGAACGAAAGGTAGAGATTGGGATGAACCTTGAGAAGGAAATACGGGAGGGGGTAATTGCGGCCCTGAAAAGGTTCTAGGTTCTATTTGCTCAGGGACCTGAAGACATGCCCGGGATTGACCCACAGCTGATCTGTCACAAGTTGGCCGTTCGGCTTGATGCCAAACCCGTACAACAAAAGAAACAGTATCAGGCGATCGAACGGCGAGAGTTCACAAAGCAGGAGGTAGCCATGCTGCTAAAGATAAGGCACATTAAGCCAGTCATACATGTGGAATGGCTGGCTAATGTGGTCCTTGCACCAAAGGGGTCCACTTGGAGAATGTGTGTGGACTATACTGACCTGAACAAGGCATGTCCCATGGACCCTTACCCTGTGCCGAGGATTGATATGTTGGTGGATGAAACAGCAGGCTGCGAGCTGTTGAGCTTCATGGACGCTTTCAGGGGATATCACCAAATCTTCATGCACCCGGATGATGCGAAGAAAACTGCATTCGTCACCTCAGACGGCGTATTCTGTTACATAGTCATGTCGTTCGGGTTGAAAAATGCAATGGCTACATTTCAGAGGATGATTGAGATGCTCTTCAAAGAGGTGCTTGGGGTGACCATGGAAGCTTATGTGGATGATATCATGATCAAGAGCAGGAAAAAGGAGGACCATGTGCAGGACATAGAAAATTTTTTCGAAATCATGCAGAAATCGAACATGAGGCTGAACCCCAAGAAGTGTGCCTTTGCAGTCAAGGGAGGCAAGTTCTTGGGGTACATGATGAGCGTGCGGGGAATTAAGCCAAATCCAGAAAAGGTTAAAGCAATCATGGACATGCAGGCACCCAGGAATTTAAAAGAGGTTCAGAGGCTGGCTGGGAGGTTGGCCGCCCTGAGCAGATTCCTTGCCAAGCTGGCTGATCGGGCAATTCCATTTTTCCAAATAATGAAGAAAGCCAACCCGTTCGAATGGACAACAGTGTCAAGCTGCTTTTGAATATTTTAAGCTTTATTTATCCCCCCCTGGTCCTGACAAAAGCGGATCCAGGGGAACATCTGTACATGTATCTACCCGTGGCTCATCTTGCAGTCAGCTCGGTATTAATAAAAGAAGATGAGGGTGTCCAGCGCCCGATTTATTTCGTGAGTAAAGCCCTAAACGGGCCTGAAACCAGGTACACTCTGATGGAGAAGACCATCCTAGCCCTGATCGCGGCTATCAAACGACTAGCACCCTATTTTCAAGCACCTCCAGTCACCATCTACACAACCCAGCCACTTGCCACTATACTAAGGAACCCAATGGCGAGCGGGCGCATAACCAAATGGTCCTTCCTGATCGGGCAACATGAAGTGGATTTTAAACCTCGCCCTACTATCAAGGGTCAGGCTTTACCAGATTTCATTGTTGAATGTACTGCTCGGCCAACAGAGGAAGGCTCGAACAGGGAAGCATTGGACAATTGGTGAGAGTTGTATGTACATGGGGCTTCCAGTGCCAAAGGTTGTGGCGGGGGAGCTGTAATCACATCCCCCGAAGGGTTTAAAGCATATTATTCTATACATTTTGAATTCAAGGTAACTAACAATGAGGCCGAATATGAGGCCCTTATTGCAGGTTTGTAATATGCTAAGGCCCTGGTGCTGACCGGCTGAAGGTACGGTCAGATAGCCAGCTGGTAGTAAGCCAGGTGAACGGGTCCGCAGTGGCCAGAGAAGAAAGATTGAAGGCTTACAAGGAGCTGGTCGAGGAGCAAATTAACAAGTTTAAACAAGTGGTCCTCGACCAGGTCTCCAGGATAGAAAATGCTGAGGCAGATATCCTGTCAAAACTGGAGCATGCTGCTTTGGATGAGCGGACTCGAGGCATTCCCGCACATATCCAGAAGTTTGCGCACCGAGAGGTACTAACCACGCAGCAACAATGATCCTTCGGGTAGATGCTATCTCATATGCAGTGCCGAGTTGGGTCACAGACATGATCAATTACCTGAAGGACGGGACACTGCCGAATGATAAAAATGATGTTTACAACTTGACAAGCATCCAAAGGAGAGCCCCAATGTTTGAGCTGGTGGACGGACAGTTATACAAAAAGACGTTGGGGGGCCTTATCTAAGATGTCTCCCGCCCGACATAGCAGTCACTGTGATGGAAGAAATCCATGAAGGAATATGTTCTAGCCACCAAGGGCCAAAGACTCTGACCAGGAAGATCATTTTGCAAGGATACTACTGGCCGACCATCCAGCAAGACTGTTTTGCGCACACCAGAAAGTGCAAAATCTGCCAACTCTATGCACCGGTTCCCGGACGGCCTGCATCATTCTACACCCCAATGACTATTGCTTAACCATTCGCTAGGTGGGGGGTTGACTTGCTAGGGCCCCTACCCACAGCTTCAGGGGAGAGGAAGTATATCATTGTGGGGATTGACTACTTCACCAAATGGGTAGAAGCCGAACCACTGGCCAACATCACAGATTTTTAGTGCCAACGTTTTGTTTGGCAAAACATTATTTGCAGGTTTCGGCTTCCCGAGCAGGTCGTCACTGACAACAGAAGACAGTTCGTGAGCAGGGAACTTTGAAGATTTCCTCATCAAGTGGGGAATTAAACACTCCAGAGCCTCTGTGACATACCCCCAGGCGAACAGCCAAGTGGAAAACATGAACTGAACCATCATGGATGGTATGAAAAAGAAGCTAGAAGACTATGTCTCCACCTGGCCCGAACAGCTGAATTACATCCTGTGGACCTACCGGACAACACCCCGAACGGCCACCGGAGAGACGTCATTCGCCCTTGCCTATGGATTCCAGGCCAAAGTACCAACTGAAGTCTTGGTACCCACACACCGGACAGTCCATTATGATCCTGAACGGAATGAGGACAACTTGCGTGCTGAACTCCATTTTATAGAAGAAAGAAGGGACCTTGCAGTCCTGCGAATGGAGGAATATCACCGAGCAACCAAGAGATACTTTGACAAACAGGTCAAAATCCGTTCAATCCAAGTAGGAGACTTGGTCCTGAAGAAAAGAGAAAAGAGCAAACCGCTGGAACGCGGGAAGATGACAAAAAATTGGGAAGGCCCCTACCGGGTAGAGAAGAAATATGCCACCAGGACATTCTGCCTTCAGACTACCGAAGGCCCGATCGGCAGGAGCATGGAATGTTGAACTTCTAAGGAAGTACACCTCTTGAAAAAAAAAAATGTGTACATGAGATACATAAAGAGGGAGAGTTGTACTTCCACAAAAGGCCAAAAGTTGGATAAACCAGGTCAGAAGAGCCGAGCGGCAATATCACAACCATGGCCAGAAGCCTCACCTCGATCAAGCACTGTTGGCAATTATTCTGGAATAACAAATGAGAACCACCATCTTCATCTGGAGGGAGCCACCATTTCAGCTAGGACTTGACCTTGTGCTCTGGATGACCGAGCAGGGGATCCAAGCCAGTTTAGGAGATGGTGTAAAACTACGAGTAGGACGAACCGGGCGACATTCGATGACACGGGTGACTGAGCGGCGAGTCGGGACTCTGGTTTTTTTAAATCTTGTCTCAGTCTATAGCTTCGACGAACCACGACGAAAGGAAATCGTTATGGTGGAATTTGAGCTATAACTTGGAGGTAAGTCTCCAATTTAGCTTGAAGCACAAAAATGACCCGTACAGGAGATTTTGTGTTTAGTTTGAAAATGGACATCTCAAACCCTTAATATGGATGGCCCGGAACGGCAGAACCGAACGGGTTGCATCGGAATTATGGGTTTGGAAGATGGCAGGCATTAACTAAGTAATTCACCAAAACTTATTTAATGATCTGCACGATCGGTGAATCAATCTCGAACGAAGAATATGTCTTTATTCTTCGGCACTACCGGCCGGGAAATACAAAAGAATGAAGGAATAAACAAAGTAAAAAGACAAAAAGCTATGCTGCGGGAGGATCCTCATTTGGAGATGCACTAGATTTGGAATTTGAAGGCTCGGCAGAATCTTTTGCCTTTTGCCTTTTCTCCATCACCCGCTTGTAAGCCCGGCAGAACAGCTCATCGAAGTCCTCCTCTTCAGGATCGAATGGCTGAGGAAAATGCACATTGATCACCTCGAGGTTCCGATCAACGATCATGTCCTGGCACTTGACAAGAATGTCCCGAGCCATGGCATTGGCAAATGCTTTTCCAGCCGCTGACGAGTCCAGGAGTTTCAGGCCATCGACCAAGGGGTTCTCACATTTCTCCAAAAATTCCCCCAGGTGTTTCCCAAGGAACTCCCGAGCGATATTCTCCAGAGCGATGCTCAACCCTTTGCCCCGTTGGAAGTCAAACACCGCTTGTTGGGTGATCTTGGAAGCATCGGCCGAATAGGGAGCGAGATACCTCTCTCCCTCTTTGGGCTGGCTCTTCTTGAATTTTAGACCAGCAGCCTCAGCGGCTTCCACCTTGGCCCTAAGAGCCCTTATCTCCTGGTCGCGATGCTGAAGTCTTTTCTCCAGCTCCGCCAGCTCAGCCCTGGCCTTATCTCCCTTGTTGGCCCGATCCTGAAGATCTGCGGTCATCTTGCGAGCAGCAGCCAGAAGAGTCTGACTATTGTCCCGCTCCTGAGCAAGAAGCGTCATCTCCCGCTCAGCGGCCAAGAAAGCCATGTGGTAGTAAGTCCCGACCTGAACACGAAGTAAGAAAAGTGAGACGATGAAAGAAAGAGGAGCAAAAAAACTAAGAGAATTTGAAAATTCACAATGTACGCACCTTGATGCTTTCCAGATGACCTGCTTCGACCAGATCGGACCAATGAGCTAAATTGGTAAAGTTCTCACCGGCCTTCAGGGAAGTGCTGCACCACATAGATGATGCAGTCTGCCCGAACAGTGTGAGACCCTCGGCACGAGGGCCCATGGCAGAGAATTCCACGGTCAGCCGGCTACTGACCGAGGTATCAGCAAGAGCAGGATCACCTTCCTTTCCAGGAGTAGAACCCATCTTCGGGCGAGGAGGAAGAGCAGACTGCATGGTTTCCAATTCAGGGGCCGTTAAGTCAATAACGTGGTCGATCAGGACCAGCTGACCACCACTCTCAATCCGTGAACGCTTCCCTGGCGTGTTCGGTAGCCTGGCCAGCGGAGGAACCTTGCTGAGGAACCAACTTCCCAGCAGCCACAATCACCTTTCCTTCACCCCTACCAGCAAGAACAGTTGAGGAAGGGGTAAGAGCAGGACGTTTCGAAGAAGCAGGAGGGATTACACCTGTAAAAAGTGGTGAACAAGAATCAGCAAAAGAAAAAAAAACACTCATACCGAATGGACTCAACAAGTATGAAATTTACTGATGCCAGCGGCAAAAAACTTGGCATGCGTGAGGTAGGAACGGAGGTTCTTTGAGCCCTCCAGATGAAACCTGTCATACTGACATTGCAACGTGGCAATGGTGGCATTCAAGACAGGAATCGAGTCCTGAACCGGATAAGTATTCCAACGGTCAGGAAACGGGAGGGGTTCCTCCACACAAACAAAGAGAAACTAGTGGGCCGCCGATTCTGAATAGTTGGGCCCGGGTAGCTACCAGGTCTGGTCCAGGTCCGGGCTGGGCCTCGGGCCGCTTTATATTTTTTTTTTTTGCTTTTTCTAATTAACCCCCGACCCCCCCCCCCCCCCCAATCACCACCCCCCCCCCCCCCCCCCAAAAACACCCAGCCCAACCCATTGGAATAAAAAAAATGAAAAAAAAATTGATTTTGGCCCATCCGGGCCGGGTCTCATTTTGGCAACACCGTGCCCGGAACCATCTCCCCCTCGAGCCGGGTCAAAGCCCGGTACCCGGACTGGTGAACCGGGCCGGGTCCCGAGCCCGCACGGTAGCGGGCCGGTCCCGAGCCCGCACGGTAGCGGGCCGGGCCGGTTCAAGAGCCGGGTATGATAATGGTGGACTCTCGGGATGATCCTTAGGGAAGCAATCACTTTGCATGTAGAACAAACCACATTGTTTGGCTAGATGTGTAATTTATTTTACTGTTTGAACCAGCCCGAACCACCGGCCCGACCATGGGACCGGTTCGAGTAGGCCCGACCTGCTGGGGTTTTGGGCCGGGCTCAGGCCCCTCAAAAGGTAAACCGGCCTGGCCGGTTCGGGGCCCCGGTCTGGGCCAATTTTTTTTTCTTTTTTTTTTGAATTTTTTTTTTAAGTTTTTGGGTTGGGCTGGGTATTTTGGGCCATTTGAGATGGTTTGGACTTTGGGGTGGTTTGGGAGTGGGGGGGGGTGGGGTAATTAGGAAAAGCCAAAAAAATATAAATTGAACTTAGCCTGGCCCGGCCCGGCCAGGGACCCGAGGGTTACCCAGGCCAATTCTGGGCCTCCCCTTTCATGAACTGAGGCCCGGCTGTGGCCCCGGGCTCGAACCCGAACCGGCCCGAGTCCACCCCCTAGTTACAACTTACAATGCTTCATAAAAAGCATGCAAAGTATTTCATTACCCCCCTAAATAAAATACTTTACATGATACAATGTGAAATGTTTTAAAAGTGCCCTACATTTCACATTTAAGGGGTGTTTGGACATACTTCTGAAAACTGCTTCGACTTCTTTAGGAACGAGAAGCAGATATTGAAGTGTTTGAGTGAAAGTGCAGAACTACTTTTGAGTGCTTTAAATTGCTCTTAGAAACATTTTTTAGAAGCTAGGAGAGACCAACTTCTGAAAAACTGATTCTGATTCTACTTATGCTTCTTTTTTAAAAGCAGAATCAACTCCAAACACCCCCTAAATAATCAAACCAAACAATGTAAATCTTTTACGTTCTTGCACTTAGCATGCAAAGTAATGGTTTTACATCCTACCAAACACCCTCATACTTTTCCCAACGTATCTACCAGCAAATCCTCTTACTTTTCCCAACGTATCAACCATCTTAACTACACCAGCAAATCCACTCAAAATCCGTTAAAACCCAACAAGAGCAAACGAGTGAACCGGATTGGAGTATTCTTCTTTTGTATTACTATAGTTCCTAGTGCTTCTTCACATTTTTTATTGTTCTAAAGTAAAACCGATTGCAAACATGTGGCTCTTTTCCATGTTTTTAACACAAAAACTTATGCCCAGGAAAAACATTGATTCAAATATACAATTTCCTAACTTTCCTATTCAAGTTCTTTCTGTTGCATTTTCTAAGGGTCATACGGAGCCTGAGAGCCCTAATAATACAAAGATCACATGGCAGAGTATATTTGGAGCTTTCTTCAAATCCTGATGTAGACCTAATTTTATTCATGTAGTCTCACACAAGTGGCAGTGTAAATAAGGGTTAATATGGGGCTAAAAAGTAGTTCAAGAAACATGTACCGGTTGTAGGTGTACAGTAGTAGACTTGTCAGTACCATTCCCCAATAATGTGGAGGAGCAAGGGATGCACTAAACGTGATTTCTAATGACTTGGATGATTACCTAACATGCAATTGCAAAGTACAATCTAAACTGTGCAACGACACAATATGCATGTCAAAAAGGAGAGTCGAGTGATGGATGGTTAGGCGGCAGTGATGGATCATTGAAGCATCACCAACAGTTTGCAAAAAGTGATCCTAAGCTACTTGAAATCCTAAATTGGTGCCAGGGTAAACCCGACAATAATTACAAAAAAACCATGGATGACATGTATGGATGGATCAACAGGAATACTCAGCAGAACTTGGACTTCAAAAGAACTCGCTTGGTTAATAAGCGATAGAGAAACCACTTCCGTCCAAATCTCCACCAGACTGGTACCCACCGTCCGACACCTTTTTTTGGGTCAGTTTTCCTGGACCCATTGTCAACCATGGTTCAGAATAATATGCAAAGTTTCTAAGAAAGAATAATTAGATGCAAGAGAAGAAAAATGTTAGTGGTGGTGGCATGTAAAATTTAGTGCTCTTTAGGTATAATATAGAATGCTACTCATCATAACATTTTCTGCAAGATTTTGTCCCTAAAGGATTAATATCCGACACTCTGAGAGTGAGGGACCCCAGTTCCCTACCTAGAGCGTTAGCGCTGCAATCATTTATATGTATAGTCTGTGCACCATGATTTAGTTAAAGTGCTAATACGTACTCCGTATTTACTATTGTTGGAGTATTGGCCAAAAACAAATTGTCTAGGGTTAATTACTAGGTCGATTCCCTCAACCCTAAACCTTGGTCAAAGCTCAAACTATGCCCACTATGGGTTCTTAAACACTAGAGTAGGCAACCCTACTATGACAGTCGGTATCCCTAGATTGCCCGAGTGGGAAGCTAGCCACTAGTTGATCGACGTGCCTAGTTGTCAAACAAATTAGTATGTCAACTTAGAGCTTAGCCTACTACCAAACTGATAGATGAGTGACCGAGGCCACGGAAGGTGAGAGCAACCAAAGTTAGGCCTCATGGCTTTGAGGCTCTCTGTGTGGAGCAAGCACATTTTCATCATTCGTAAAGAATACTTTCTCTTGCTGACTTTGTATTTTGTCTCTTCACTGTGGTCTCTAAGAATCATAAGAATCTATATAGCAAGTCTGGGCCTATCGATCCTATGGTTGACTAGAGCATTGAGTCAGTTGGCAAAAGACACATCCCACTAAGGAAGCCTGGTCGACTAAATCAAGAAAAATTAATCAAAGCTACGACCAATGCCTTGACACACCTTTTCATACGAATCTCCTAGAAAAGTGTAATGGTAGAACAAAACCAGTCTCTAACTCCCATCATGTCGAAATGTGGTGATGAAGCCACATGGTAGAATAAAGATCAAGTACCAGTTGCAAATGCCCAAAAGTACTTGCACTCTCATTAGGATTTCTTGCAAAAAAGAATTATAAAAAGGTGTGCCCAAATTCCATATAGACATTCAAAGAACTTCTACTTGATTTTTGAAGACTTTGACGCACTCAATGAAATAAGGAACTAGTTGATGAGTTTACTGCTCACGAGAGAGAGGAGAGAGAGAGAGAGAGAGATGAGAGAGAGAGAGAGAGAGAGAGAGAGAGAGAGAGAGAGAGAGAGAGAGAGATGAGAGAGAGAGAGAGAGAGAGAGAGAGAGGAGAGAGATCCAGTGCTTATCCTTGAACGTGCTGAAACACACATAGCTCTCACTATCAAGCATAACTGCTGCAATCATTTACTCATTTCCTATGTAGAGTAAGCACTAAGCACTGACTTCAGCAATAAGGGGCCATATCCATGAGACATGCGCACATTACTTGTTCCTTTAGTTTGTTATTATTGAGGTTTTGTTTTCTACCCTGTTAAAATCTTTCTTGGAAAATAATTCTTTTAATGTGATAACTGAACTTATTGATAAAAATAGTGCAGAAGTTTATATTTTAATGAAATAGCTGAAAATGAAAGGAAATGATACTTCTAGCCTATAAAATGTATCACCTGATTTAATTATTGAGAAAATATACTTTAAATACATTTTAATATAGTTTAGTCCATAGGGGGGTGTTTGGAACTGATTCTGCTTCTGCTTCTTTTATAAAGCAGAAGCAGAATCAGAATCAGTTTTAAGAAGCTGGTACCTACCAGCTTCTAAAAAAACTGGTTCTAAGAGTAAATTGGAGCACCAGAAGTGCTTCTGGAATTTCAGCCAAAACACTCCAGCTTCTGCTCCCTGAAGGAGCAGAATCAGTTTTGAGAATCAGATCCAAAACACCCCCATAGTCCTTTTCTGTAATTTCAGATCAAGCCATATCAACCAAATTTAATCTCATCAACAAGCTCTAAGAAAGTTCAGAATAGGAAATATCGATAAAGATGCCCTGTACTAGATGCATACTCACTTGTGTTCTTAAAAGCTTGCATTCCCCATTGTGACAACAGCTTGTCGAAGTGGAACTTTATTGGCCAATAGCTCATCTGTATTTTGAGTACCCTCCATTATGGTTCTTAAACAGGACTTTGAAGGTATAAAACGATCCAGGTCTGTTTCTGGACTTTCACCTAGTAAGACCTGATAATGGAGGTCTAAATTAGAAAAGCACCAAGCATTTTAAAGAGAAAAAACATAATTTACAATTAGGTTTCCAAGTGTTACTCCATAATTATGCAAAATTGACACGATAAACTCCTGCGTAATGATTTCAAAACTACTCAAAAACATTAAACCAAAAATAACAGTAAAAAATAATTCTTCCTCCTGAGGTAGAATAGTATGTCAAACCATTCAAGTGGGGAAAGCTCCACTGACCCTATAAACACACAAAAATGACCCCACAAGTCACACATGACAAACACTGAACTAGAGCTGAACTTTTGCACCACACACAAGCATGATATTAATAAAGGACGCTTTCCGTCAATGCACAAAATTTGATCCATAATATGTTGTGTGTGTGCGTGCATACAGAGAGAGTTGTATTTCTCCTCAGGCGCACCTGATGGGATCTGTCAAGGTAAACCATTTTTGGGTAATATACAATTCTACTGTCTACGACTACAGTCCAAACTTTGTCAACTTTCCTTACTTAGGTCTCAAAAAACTGCCATTTCCTTATAAAGTAACACATTTGTGGTTAATGTTATTTCTCTTTCCACTACATCAACCCTCAACCACACACAAATTTTACTTTATTATCCTACAAGCAAGTCATATTTGGCCAACTTTCATTTGGATCTTAAATTTGTTCAAAGAAAGACCCTAAAAAACTTAGTTTTTCAACTTTAGACTTTACCTAACAGTTAAAGCTAATTATGGTTAAGATTAATAAGGGTGCTATCATAGATAGAATTGAATTTGTGACATGATCAAAAGGTTAAAATTACTAACTGACGCTAATGAATGAAAAAATATGGACTGATATGATTCCTCTCTATCTCCATCTCCCTCCCCCTCCCCCTCCTCCCTTCCTCCCTCTCCTTCTCTCCCTCCCTCCCTCTCTCTCTATGTGTGAGTGCATGCATGTGTGTTTTATGTATATGTATTTGTGTATAGGTGTGTGTGTAGTAACGTTGATGCTCCATATTAAATAAAATCTTATTTCATTTTTTGTTGGTCTCCCCACTTTAGCTGTCTTCTTCCCGAGTTCCCTCCATAGTACGCTCTCTCTATGTGTGTGTGGTGTGTACATATATATGTGTGTGCGCGCGCATTTGTATGTATATAAGTGTATATGTTCTAAAGCTGGCAGTCCCACAACAACAACTAAGTCTTAATCCTAAAAGATTTTGGGGTCGGCTAACATGAATCGATCCATGATATCAGAGCCAAGAGAAGAAAGAAGAATAAAAAAAGTATGATTAATCTGATAAGATAAAGATAAATACTCCCTCCGTCCCATTTTGGTTGTCCTACTTTCCTTTTTGAGTTGTCCCAAAATGAATGTCATCTTTCCTTTTTTAGCATGAAATATGTGGTCCTTATCATTTTACTTTATTCTACTCAAATTTCAACCACAACTTTTACTTTTCAACTATTTTATTAATAATCTTACCAAAATGAAAGAGGACAACCATTATGGGACAGAGGTAGTATAAGATAACAATAACATAAGAAACCTAAGAAAGATACAAGTTAAACCAAGCACTTCAGCCTAGCTGGTTGCGAGGTTACCGTGCTTAGTGGGAGGTCTCGAGTTCGAATCCCCGCTAGGCACACAAGGGTTTGAAACTCAATGGAGTGAGTTTCAGCCCTGATTACTCCAGGCTCCCCCCAGCCCCCCTCCCCCAGACCCCCCCTGGAGTTAAAAAAAAAAGGGAAAACTGTCAAATAGGTCCTCGAACTTTCATAAAAAAGTCAATTAAGTCCTTCTATACGACACTCTGTCCGGTCGTCGCGATTTGGGGCGGTTCCCGGTGGAATTTTTTGATGAAATTTTTTGAGCATCTTATTCATCAAGTCTAGTTTACTCATACCGAATTTCAGCTAAAAATTTAATCGGGAGCGCATTCAAATTAATTCGAGAACGCAAAAATGCGCAGTTATCTTCAAGAATTAATTTGAATGTGTTCCCGATTGAATTTTTAGCTTAAATTTGGTATGGAGTAAACTAGACTTGGTGAATAAGATGCTCAAAAAATTTCATCAAAAAATTCCACCGGGAACTGCTCCAAATCGCGACGGCCGGACAGAACCTCCTATAGAAGGACTTAATTGACCTTTTTATGAAAGTTCGAGGACCTATTTGACAGTTTTCCCAAAAAAAAAGATACAAGTTAAAAACATAAAGAGCATAAGAGAGATACAAGATAAAAATAACAAAAGAATATAGAAAGATAAAGAAGATAAACGATAAAAGAAAAAGGAGAGAGAAAAGATAGAAAAGAGATCAATCGTTCACTACGAATGTGCGACCTTCACCTTGCTGTCTCCAAAGTTATACTCTCATCCCACCCAAGAAGACGCATATCAGTTCTGATTCTTCTTATCCAAGTTTGTTTGGGTCTTCCTCTCCCTTTCCTCCCCGCCTCTTCTCCCCACATCTCAAGTCGTCTAGCAGGTGCATCACTCGGTCTTATGTGCACATGATCAAACCACCGCAATCGAGACTCCTGCATCTTATCTTTTATAGGTATCATCCTCACCTTTTGTCTCATTATATCATTCCTCAATCGGTCTTTCCTAGTATTTTCACACATCCAACGCAACATCCGCATCTCTGCCACACTCATTTTTTGGATGTGAGCTTGTTTTACCACCCAACACTCTACACCATACATTAATGCAGGCCGAATTTTTGTTCGATAAAATTACTCTTCAATCTTTTCGGCATACCTCGATCGCATAGAAATCCTGAAGCACTCTTCGATTTCATCCATCCAGCTTTGATTCTATGGGATACATCTCCATAATTCACCATCCATTTGAATTATGGAGCCCAAATAACAAAACATATCACACCCTGGTATCTCCTTACCATCAAGAGTAATCCCACTGTTACTACTACATCTAACTCCACCAAACTTGCACTTCATATACTCAATCTTGATTTGGCTCAGTCTTAAACCCTTGGTCTCCAATGTTTGTCGTCATACTTCCAACTTTGCTTTAACACCCGATAGTGTCTCATCAATATCGCCGGAAAACATCATTCACCACTGTATATCTTCTTGAATTGACTTCGTAAGTTCATCCATCACTATAGCAAATAAGAAAAGCCTCAGAGTCGTCCTTGCTGAACTCTGATAGTGATAGGGAACTATGCGGTCCTCCCTACACTAGTACGGACACTTGTAGTACAAGCCACATACATATCCATGAGGATACTGAAAGACAATGAACACCGAAGAGTAGCGCGCCTTTGCATATTTGACACCACCCCAAGGCGAAGGGATGACGTGTCGCTTACGGGCAACGACCTAGCTATAGCGATATTCATATTTTGATTTAAAGTTGGAGGTCCAGATTAAAAAAATCGTATTTCGTTTTTGTTGGTCTCTCCACTTTGGTTGTCTTCTTCCCTCCACATAATGCTCTCTTAGGTAAATCTTTCTCCTTTCACTCACCCGTCGTGTCTGTCAAATCCTTTCTAGCTGTAGACTCTCTCTCTCTGCCTTAGCATCAAGGAAATTAAACTCGAGGAATCAAGAGACAAAAGGAATTGCATGAAATTAGCATATTACATGCAACCAAGGTTTTGAAAGGCGAAATCGGGCCTCGAGGCGTTCGGTGATAGCCTCCCGAGGCATAAGCCTCGAGGCGTAACGAGGCGTAAGCCTCAAAATTAATTGCTTACATGTTGCTACAAGCCTACAACATATCATTTCGTATAGACAAAATCTTGTTTCTAATTAAATTAAATTATCTTGAGCCAGGTAAAGTACGGAGTAGTAAACTAGTAAAGTACGTAATATTAAACAAATAAATTACTAAGCTAAGTGATAGTTTTATATGATAACTTTAAAATTTAAACTTTAGGCTAATAATATATACAGTAATAATATTAAACAGGCAAAGATCAGAAACACAAAACTGAAACTTTTAAATAACTAAAAAACCTAAATAAAAAACTCAAAAACTTAATTAAATGTTTCAAAACTTAACTAAAAACGGACAAAGATTGAACTGTAGCCTGATATTGTGGTAGAATAAATATTAAATACTTCGTACTTCAAAACTGAAATTTTAAATAGCCAAACACTTGAATAAAAAACTTAAAGAACAAAAGAAAATACACAATAAGAAACTAGGTGGTGGGATATTTTATACGAGTAACTACATGGAGTTCTGGACGAAGCACAAAAGCAGCTCGGAAGTCCTTCCCCTCTGTAGTATGTACTGGAACTCTGACTGAGACAGCGCCTCTTCGACTGGAATAGCAGCGATGTGCGAGGTGATAACGAGCAACCCAGGATTTTTGTATTTTATACTTAGGATGATGACAAATTCGAGGCCCCCCAATAATAATTAGAAAAAATAAGCCCAACCTGCTTCTAATTAGAGGCGTACGCCTCGTCTAAGCCTTGCGCTTACCGCCCAATTCTACGCATCAGGAAAAAAGGGCGTAAGCCTTGTTACGGGAATGGAAGGCTTAAGCCTTACGTGCGATTGAACAGCGTCTTTGCGCTTTTGCGCCTCAGGGGCGTAAAGGCTAAACGCCTTTTAAAACCATGCATGCAACCACACGAGATTTTGAACGAAAATGAAGGTAATAATTTGAGCGATATCACTTGACATATATGAAATGAAAAAATCTGATGGAAGAACTCGTAAGAACAGTATGTTTTAGTGAACTTTTGGCTTTCAGGGTTACAAGAAAATTTACATTAATACAAACAATCAATTAATGTCTACAACAACATCCAAGCCTTATTCCCAAAAGATTTTGGGGTCGGCTAACATAAATCGATCCATGATATCAGAGCCAAAAAGAGAAGATAAGAAAAATAAAAAATTAAGGTAAGATAAGATGGATAAGATAAATATAACATAAAAACATACGAACAAATTAATGTCTTCAAGACTATATTAATACTCCCCTGTTGAAGAGGCATTTGAATGTTTAATTTGAGCAAACTCTCTTCAAGTGTTGTCTTAGTGATTTGCCATGCCCTTATATTGCAACTCAAGCTTACTATAAAACCCTTATGGAAAGGAGGCGGAGAGATTGGAAGTAAAGGAAGTTATATAAATGAGAGTGCAGAGCTTCAAATAAGTAAGAGGAAAAGAGCTTTGGGTGAGAGTGAGAGTGAGAAAGGATAATAAGTGTAGAATAATATGAATAATATGAGTACTCTTTTTTAATATGGGCAATGCGATCGAAAATGGTCCGGACAAATAGCTATGTGGAAGTCCATATATGGTGTATTCTCTGTATAGGTATATGTATATGTATACTTATGTGTATGTGTGTGTGTTCTAGCTGAAGTGTCTTCGGTCATGGTAGGCAAAGCATACCTTAATCACTGATGTAGCTGAAGATGATATTGATCGAAGATTATACCTGAAAAAGACATCCACATGTCATTTAATATTGAGGAATCACTGCTGCAACCAAGGTAGTCAAAGTCGAGCGCCTGGGCGCTTAAGCGCACCAGGCGCAGCGCACAGAAGCCCCAGCGCTTGAAGAACAAAGAACGATCAGGCGCACCCAACTGCCTAAGGCGCAGCTTAGGCACAAAAGCGCCAAAGCGCAACTGCGATAAAAAACGCTCGCTATTTGCGCCTGATTGGGGAACGCGTTTTTTTAAGTTCAGACATGTCGTCAAATAAGAAGCCCATATTTTTAATAAACCTCGTCTAAATAAGGTCAAAACAACATATACCTACACTAAACAAACCGTAAACCTGTTCTGCTCTACTCAAGTTACCTGTTTGCCCTCCTCCTGTCCTCCACATCAACTGCAGAAGTTGGCAGCAGTAAGCTTTCTTCTCCATCGTTCCATTTTTTTTCTTTTTTCAGTATCTACTTCTTATACACTCTATACAACTTAAACATATATATGTAAACTACCAATATAATGGTCTATCATGTGCATTAACACTCTTCATTGTGCCATTTTCTTTCTTCTTTACTTTTTCAGCATCCTTTTATATAGTTTATACTCTATTACCCTAGATACCTAAAATCTAATTATGTTTTATTTTTCAGTTTGAAAGTTTAAGACTTTAAGTTATGAATTCTAATTTTGGTTGTTTTGCTTTTGTGAATCATGACCTCATTTTGGTTAATCATGACTTTATTTTGATGAAACATGACTTTATTTGTGAGAAACCTGACTTTTTTATGTAGTTAGTTCAATATGGTGTTATATACATCATGTTTTATTATTGAAGAATAGTATATGTGATACTTTCTAAGCAATGCGCCTGACATGAGTCAGGCGAGCGCTTTTTTGCACCTTGCGCCTCAGGCGCTGGGAATACCCTATCACCTTGAGTGCGCCTCACGACTTTTACTACCTTGGCTGCAACAAAAAATAACTAGCACGGACAGGACAGACTGACCCTCCTTCTAGGATGACAAGTAATTTTCCTCCCGATAAAGGACTCAACATTTGTGTCATCAATGCATAACCAGCGGGAGTCACCTACAAAGGGTCACATATAATTAGGATTAAAATTCAAATGACAACACAACAAAAGGAAAATTAAATGAGTGAGTGAGATGCAAGAAGACGCCACTTACATCACAACAACCAAGGGGATCACCCCTTGCAGCATCAAATCCTGCTGAAATAATAGTGAAATCTGGAGCGAACTCAGAGGCTGCCATTAAGTGCATAAACCAATAGCATCTCTTAAAATTAGGGTAAGCATAATAGTAAATAAAATCTAAAATAAAATAAAAACTATAAATCACATGTAACTTATGTAAAGCATGATATAAATATCACATAAACCCATAAATATTACTACCACTATCCCTTAAAACTTTGTCATCTTTGACTTTTCAAGTCAATGGTGGTAAAGTTTGGACAATTATTTTGATTAGTATATATTGTATAATATTTTGGAAGTTACAAATTTAATAACTTTATGGAAGTATTTTTAACAAAGAGCATTTCCAGCCAAGTACCTTGTGGTCTGATGGCATCACTGTGGCACTCCCAAAGAGGAGGTCACAAGTTCGAATCCCATCCCAGTTCAAGGATGTTGGCATTAACATTGAGCAGATACTATATAGGTTAGAAAGGAATGGCCAAAAAAACAAAGAGCATTTCCATATCATTTTCATAATATAAATTATTCCCTATAAAAATATATAATTGGTCAAAGTTTAACATAATTGACCATGATATTGAAACGTGGCAAAGTTTTACGGGACAGAGGAGTACAAAACATGCAAAAAGATATTAAGAAATGACATTTTAAATGTCTGAACTTTTAGATGTATAGATTCAATATAAATAGGGAATATCATATAAATCCTCACAACTATCATCAGTTTCCTAAGTCCTTCACTCCTCTGCTACATAAATACATGGTGAATGAAAAATCGTAAATGGAAATACTCTCAGGTTAGTCATTAATGTCAGGTAATAATGTCTCTTCAGTTATATACTTCATCCGTTCTTAATTAAATGCAACACTTTCCTCTTTTGGCAGTTTTAAAATAATTGCAACACTTCCATTTATGGTAATATTAAATAACTACAATGACTATAATACCCTTTCACCCCAAATCAATATCCTCACTCTCTCACCGAATATTATGATTTCACTAGTCACCACATGCTATATGCACCACTCAACAGTCAATACCCATATGTTCATCTATGTTTTTTCTTTTTCAGTTTCTCATTTCTTCCCTTCCACCTTCACCCTTCGTCATTTCCATCACTGTATCTCCCAATCTCACTGTTTTTTCACTCGTTTTTCTTCTTTTGTTTCTTTCCTCCACTGATTTCTTTAATTCCATAATCTAGATTATGAATCTCCCTAAAAAACGTACTGTAACTATGTCTTTTTAAAATCCTTCAAAGAAGTGAACCATGCACACACATTTGTGTTTCTTTCCTCCACTACCTTTTTTTTTTCATATGTTTGGCTTTCTTTGGAGATCTACTCTAAAATCCTTAACAGCATAACAAAAATGTGTGAGCATGGTTCACTTCTTTGAAGGATTTTAAAAAGACATAGTTACAGTACGTTTTTTAGGGAGATTCATAATCTAGATTATGGAATTAAAGAAATCAGAAATTGAAAGTAAAATAATTAACTTAGCTGTACTCTAGTTCTTGGTCTACTTATGAAAACGACGAAGAAGGTAAGCAACACAGGGAGGATTTAAAATGAATTAATGGTGATGAAAATTTTGGGAAATTAAAGGAAAGAGACGGTGCCAGCATTCGTCAGACAAGAGTTCAGAAAAGGGAGGGTAAGATAGGAAGAAAATGTCTATGACTGAGTTTCTTAATCTCTGTGCCCGTTTGTATGTTGCATTCTTTTCCGAACAGAGGAAGTATTCAAAAAGAGAAGTGATACAAACCTATAGGAAGCACAATATTTTGAAATGCAAATACATAATCATTGTCACCAACTCCACCCCGGCTCCATGGAATATTCACACAGTATCCTTCTGCACCCATGGAGCCAACCTGCAACGCAGGAGCATGATCTAAAGTTGCTACACATAAGTAGATCACTGAATCACATAATTCACTCATCATCTAACACTTGTTAAATAATATAATTGATGTTGCTATGCATAGAAAGGATTTATTGTATACCTCTTTAGCAGCTCCGGTACCAGGGTAAAATTTCCCACCCTCGTGTCTGTGTAAAGATATGTAGAGAACCTGGTACAAATCCACAGAATTAAAATTGACAGTAAAGCTACATAATAATATACGGAGTAATACAAAAAAAAAATATCATAGCAAATGATAGAACAAACAGAAGATACTCATTATAGTGAACAGACTATATAACTGATAGTGCACATCATTGAGAATGGATGTTTCTAACAATAAACTAGACCTCTCATGTAATGATTAATAAAATCATTTAAAACATTATGAATCTGTTATTTATCTCACCTTTTATTATACATTTATACGGCAGAAATAGCAAATAGCAAATTATTGATAACAAAAGTAAGATGTTCCTCACTGACTTTAACTTATTCCTCAACAAATTACCAAGAGAAATTTATTATAGAAAAATAAATACTCACTGATTTGCTTCTTTCAAATATTTCTTGTGTTCCATTTCCATGATGTACATCCTACAAACCATGCGAGGAAGAAAGAGTCACTAAAATACAGGGGATCACATTACGATCCTTTCATTCATAAATAATAGTTATATTTCAGCATGAAACAACATACTTAACATCATTACCCAGTCAACTATTAAAACCCTCTTTGCTCCTGCGGCCTGAGCTGCAAATGCTGCAACAGCTGCATTATTAAGGAGACAGAATCCCATGGCTTGTTTTACGCCGGCATGGTGGCCAGGAGGGCGAACCTAACTCAATTTTTGTCAGGGAATGAATTAAGTGCCTTTTTCATATTGTCATCCAATTTAGAATTACCAACGAGCAATCAGAGCTTTTACCAAAGCAAAACCATTTTTAGCACGGCCAGAGAAGATTGTTGAAGCAAGATCAGCACATAAGCCTGCGGCAAGTCTGGCAGCACATGCTGAATATTCATTTGCATAAGTATCGGGAGTAAAATAACTGCAATTTAAAAAATTATTCCATTAGAAGATATTGAAAGAAGCTGTATAGCATTGCTCACTCTGAACCATGTAAACGTTATTGACTCCTTGCTTGCAAGTTACCGTTGCAAGAATAGAAAGAGCGTGACTTAATGGGAAAAACATCACGAATAAAAAGAGTGTGAATAAATGGGAAAAAACTTAACATACCTGGCATGCAGGCGACTTGTAAATTCTACAGCTTCAATATTCTCCAAAGCATGTACCTATATTCCCCAAAGCATAATAGAATCATGACCTGGGAAAGTATAGCTCTTTTCTCAATATAAGAAACTCTATCTCCCAAGTCCCAACATCTAATTATGACCATACATTTTTTAACAAGGAAAAAATTAAATTTCAAATAATATGATGACCAGACAGGACCTAGAGCTTCTAATTTTTTAGAAGAGACTTTTGTCATAATCTTACCATCTGAAGTTCCTTCCTTGTAATTTCTCTTGCTGCAATTGGATAACACTTCCCAGGAAATATACCTTCAAATATTGATGAAAATATAAACATCATACCATGAAAATGAACAACTTAGAAATTTAGATGTGTGTGAACATATAAAAATTTAGAAAACATGCACACCAATCACTCATCTGTGATGTCTAAGTTGATTAAAACGTTAAGGCACACCTGCACTAGCAAGACTAGCGGCAATAGCTCGAAGACGATCTGGTCTCTCGGGGTGAGGATGAGACTTCATTTCAACCTTTCAATCAGATAATAAGTACATTGATTTCAGCTAAAAGATAGAGGGAAGATTCAGGGTGTAATCTTAGAATTCGCATCCTGGGAATTGAAGTGTGGAAAAACTGACTACATTAATATGACTATGTCTACACAAATCATCATTACTACAGAAAGGAGAAAATATGAAAAACACAAATTGTCCAGATCTTTTTTTCCTTTTTAGTATTATTTCATTTTAGGACTACAGACCCAATTAAAAAATAAAGTTCAGTCTGACCACAAGACACAAGTTCCAGGGAAATATAAATAACTGCCATAGATAGAAGCATACTTCATCATGGAGCAGCATCCTCTCATCAAACCCAACCATGGTGGAGTCCGATGGAAACCCTTTCTGGAATGAACCTAGAAACGTTAAAATTTGCTAAAAATAATTAAACAATACTTGATGTCAGTGCCAAGTACCAAATCCTTAGCCATAGCAAATAAAAAGTTGCGCCATGTTTTATTATTATAATGGTCCTATGAAAAAAAGAACAAACACTTAATATTCCAGTTGCTAAAATTGCTGAACAAAACTTTAATTTCACAAGAACATGTTTTACCTTCTTCATGGATGAATAGACTATATAAGTGATCCTAGAAAGTGAAACAATAAGTTCAACTGTATTTGGCTCGAGATTGAACAGCCCTTAGATACTAAACCAGGGAACTATAGATTTTGATAAATGTTCTATAATATTTCATTTTGCAGGAAGAAAAAAAATTATGAAGGAAAATAATTGCGCAGGAAAGTCGCAAATTACAGGCCACAACCTTTGGGTTTCTCAGTAGCATCTAACTCAAGTGCTGCAATATCTCCCTCTGGCATGAGTGGTGAGGCAAAACATCCCAAACTAACTATTCCAGAACCCTTGTGCTCTCCACAGGCCTGCATATCAGCAGATATCATATATTGTGGATCTTCAAAAGTCATGAATATGAAATGAAATTGCATTTGCATATTGGAAAAGATCAACATGGAACATAGAAGCATACATAGCAATGGACAACATTACTGAGGTTAACCATGGTGCAGTTGATACAAAACCACTTCACGGCCTTAACTTGTTTCTCTAAAGGATCCCAGTCACTATCATCATCTTCATCGCTTAACTCATAACGTTCATTGTAAATTTCTTCCAAGGTTGCATCAATTTGCTGCTTTGCACTTTTCTGCAATCAACAATTATGGTATGGACTATGGACACAAATTATTAAATATTATGTTCAGGTATAAACAAAGGATAACACAACGGTGACTGGCATTATCACTAAAGCTGCAGTTCCATCCTTCCTAAGTGTCACCTTTTTCTCTTTACGGAACAAGTGTTCCCTTTGAACACCTTTGTTGGCCTCTCCTTTGCTTGTGTGGGTCATCTTAGAGCGTTCAGAGCAGATAAGACCTTTCCCTGCTAAATCATTGCTAAGACGTAAAGAGATAGCTTGCACAGAACAGCACCTAGAAAAGGTAATCTAAGTAAATAAGCTTGCTATGTTCATCACTGTCATACAGTCATACCTCCAAGAGGATGACAGCGTAGCATAATCTAAGCTCCAAATAAAGTAGAATTTTAAAAACATAAAGATGTTTTTGCTTCCATAATGGTTTACCTTTGTCAGGAGCTCAGCATGAAATGCTAACAAGCACATCACACAATAACTTGACGATAACATGACATATTAAACTCAACGTTTCATGTTACCATTTTTAGTAATTTCCTAAAAATGTGTGCTCCTTATTTCAAAAAAAAAAAAAAAAAACTGCCGCTGAACCGCAGTATTTGCGCTCAACAGTATTTGACACTCCATTACTTAAAAGTGCATCACAATCCTTTAACTAATAGTCATAGCATAGAGAAACTTAAAACTGTGCGTTGTAAACACACACACACGTACCTAAAATGTATAAATGTGTATTTGGCGGAATTTCAAAAGGAAACAATCAAATCGAAGTGGACAATCGGAACACCGACTAAGCTGTCGAAAATGTCGAGGTAGGAGCAAAATAGGTACCTGATAGGGCAACAGTGGAAGGCAATCCGCTCCGCCGCAGAGTGACCGAGTGACAGAAGAAATATTTTGGTTTCCTTGGAGCAGAAACAGGATTGAACAAAACCTGGTGCGCGAGTATGGGTTTTAAGCAACCTTTCCAAATTATTTGAAAATTTGACTTTTCTTAGTCATTTCTTTTTGTTCATTGAATTAGGATGTCAATTTTTAATTATAATCTAATTTGGAGTTTATAACTCTGAAGTGATTGTAATGTAGTTTATGAATATGTAAATTTTTATTATTAAAAATTGAATTAATAATTCATATGAAGGATTGACTTGTATTATTGATTGACCAAAAAATGTTGACTTTGCAAAATAAATTGGGACGGAGGGAGTATGTTTTTGGGGCGATTACCAAAATAGGAGTAAAACATAGGACCTATGCAAAAATAGGTGTAGAGTTTTAAAATCCTCAAAATAGGCGTATTTTTTTGTAAATGGACCTATGTAAATCCCCTGCCTGTTGTTGCCCGTTGCTGCTACAGTACCGCCGTCGGAGCTCCGGCAACCACCGCCGGAATATTTCCCAGGTTTTTTCCCTGGATTTTTCCCAGCATTTCTGCGCCGAGCGTCGCCACCGCCTTCGGAATCTTCTGTCGCGCCCATTGGACTGCCCCGCTACCAACGAACTGCCTTGGTTGCCCAAGGGGACTAGGGGGCAATAATTAATTAGAATAAAGGTTTCAGCCGGTCACCAGAGCTCCACCGCCGCCCGCCGCCCGCCGCCGTCTGCCACCACCGGACTGTCGCCGCTACCAACGCCCTGCCCCGCCACCGACGGACTGCCCTTGTTGCCCAAGGGAACTAGGGGGATAATTAATTACAATAGGAGTATTAGGGGTAAAAAATTAATGTTTACTCTTGTTGAGGTTTAGTCTCGTAGACCCAAAAGCCCAACATACGCTTTGGATATTAAGAAAGTTTGTCTTGGTTAAAAGGTGTATAAAATATAAAATAGTGAATTATAAATGAACTCAGAAGCTAACTTGTATTACGTAATTTTGTGATTACAAAGAAACTACCCGAATGGTCTGTCGCTATGAGTCCAAATACAAGAACAAGAGAGATGATTCTATTGTTAAGCTCTGAGTATGAAATTGCTAACCCTTTACAATGTATTCAATGCAGATATTTATACTAAGAGGGGGTAGGTGGGATGGTGACGTGGCTGAACCCGGTTGGCTGCCGCCTTGCACCCATGCCTCTACTTCCTATTGCCATACTTCAACATTAAATGCGGCTCCCACTTGCTGACTACCCGTCCGGGTGCGGAACCCTTTGTGGGTGTTTGGATGTCAGTACTCTGTTTGTCACGCCCCGGGCCTATCCGGACACGTCAACAACCCGCCGTACAGTACGAATAGTCAACCGCAGTCCGACTCATCCATACTATACAAGGCGTCTTGAATACCATTCACACATAGTACATCCATAAACAAGCATAATGTAAAATATTCATTTAAGCAGCGGAAACATTAATACAAGTGTTTATGCCACACTCGGCAAACATGGGCATACAAGCCCCCGAATGATTATTCAAAAATAATATCCATGAGCATTATTTAGATTGTTTTCAAAGCAGAAACGGAAGAAGCACGAACCACGTCTCCTTCCCTTGATCTCCCTGAAGCAACGGGGGGTGGCAGCAACTCTTCAAGTTCTACCTGAAACTGTGAGGTGGCCCCCCCGTGAAGGGGAGGTCAGTACTTGGAAGCATTTGACAAGTACAATGACAACTATACTAAGTATAATCAATGTTTCAATTTCTTAAGACCCTCAAATAGAGTGATATTATATCGTAGGCCGTAACCCCCGGTTACCCTGTTTTATAAATATACTTACTTTATATAAAGTCAAGTAGTCGGCCCGTGGGCCCATATTCATTTAGAATTTACCATTTTCACTTTCCGTGACCATGAGTCACGACAACCCCATAGGGTTCCCTCGAGTCCCGATTGTATAGCAAGGGCTCGGCCCAACTACATTTCTATACAATCCTTTAACTCAATTTAATATATCTAAATTTGTATGGCAAGGGCTCGGCCCAACTACGTTTCCATACCAACCATAACTTCATGGCAAGGGCTCGGCCCAACTACGTTTCCATGAAGATCACAATGCATGGCAAGGGCTCGGCCCAACTACGTTTCCATGCTAATCACGTTACATGGCAAGGGCTCGGCCCAACTACATTTCCATGTAATCCTAGAGTCTGACTCTAATTTATTTTCATAGCTCAATTCTCAAGCAAATCCTATGTCTAGAATCAATTCACTTGGATAGCCTTTAGGCCTACCCCTAACACACCTTAGTGTTCATACAATTCGACCTTAAAGCATCTCTTAAGACTACTTAAGGCATATCTATTCACAATCCTATCTCTTAGGATTAATTCCATCATTTATTTATATAAATCTCCTGACTAGTATTTCGATACTAGTCGAATAACCTTAGAACAACCAAGTTCTAAATTCATAACCAAATAGTTTATCTCAATTGATTTTCCAATCCAAATATGATTTAATCCCAATATCAAAAATATCACTTTTATCCATTCATGAATTTCATACATGAAGTAAAAGTATATTTTATCACAATTTTCATAGTTAGTTCCATTACCATACCATTTCTTTCATATCACATAATCATACACAATCTCTTACAAATTTGTATATTATGCTCTTTTCCTTATAGACAATAGTCTTCTCATTCTTAGGCATTATTAATCATTAATAATCCTTAAAAACATATTTAATTACCTTAGGTAATCTCATGAAATTAACCCAAAGATTATAAGCAATATAGTCAGCCATCCTCACCTTATGAAGTGCTGAAATAGTTGTCCTTGTTAAGCCCTCCGATCAACCCTCGTTCTAAACCGATCAAAAGCAAACTTCTGGGCAGAATGATGAAAGCCGGGCGGCTTTCACGAAAGCTGGGCGGCTTTCGTGGTCTGCAACTACGAACAGCTCCCTTCAAGTGGCGGTTTCCGGCGGTTTCAACTCCTATCGATTCCACGACTCTTCTAAGTTAAATACCACCACTTTATAACATTATTCTACACTTTTAAACGTGTAGAACTCCATATTTAATCCACCCAATGATTTCTTAAAAATCATACAACAATAATACTAGTTAAAAGTGTTTGTTGAGTTCTTACCTCCAACACACCTCCTTTCCTTCTTGGATTCTCCTCTTTCTTGTTTCCTTATACCCTGAGCTCTGTGAGAAGCTTTCCTAGAGTTCAGGGTGGTTCGAATGATGCTAAGGATAGGAGGCAACTCCTCTCAATCACTTAGATGGCAAATGTCAATGGGTAGGACATGGGGGTATGGGTGTTTGTCTCTATGAGACTTCCCCTTGCTCTCATCCGCACATCCCCCTCCCATTTGTCTTGCTCTCAATAATTTTGGGTCTAATTAGTGTGTAGAATACCCCAAGTGGGTGTAGGAAGTCCCTCCCAATTATTCCTGCTATTTTTGGCGGGTTGGGTCAAAATAGCGCTCGGGTTGTCCAAACATTCCTCCCAACCTTAGTTGGCATTTTATTGGGCTTCTAAAATTATTACATTGATCCAAATAAATGTTTGGTAGCCCATTCTCATATAATGGACCCGATAAATAATTTTAATTAATCGCACATCAATTAAATATGCCAATTAATTACACGAATTTTACTCGCTGGGAAATTCAAGTACATATCAAATTTCGAATTCAAGTACATCCGGGTGCGGTGTCACAAGTTCACCCCCCCTTAACGGGAATTTCGTCCCCGAAATTCACAAATGCTTATTCAAAAAGAAATGCATACTGTTCCTTGATCAAGGCTTCTGTTTCCCAAGTTTCTTCTTCAACTCGGTCACTTTTCCAAAGGATTTTAACTATTGGAACTTTCTTGCTTCTCAGCTTCTTTACTTGCCTATCAAGTATCCTCACCGGTCGTACGGCATAGTTCAAATCCTCACGTATTTCCACGGGTGGTTTCTCTAACACGTGAGACGGATCCGGCACATATTTCTTTAGCATGGACACGTGGAACACGTTATGCATCTTCTCCAATTCTGGAGTCAGCTGCAATCGGTATGCTACGGCCCCAATCCTCTCAAGAATTACAAATGGCCCTATGTAGCGTGGGTTAAGTTTCCCTCGGCTTTGAAATCGGATGATTCCTTTCCAAGGTGAAACTTTCAAGAACACCTCATCTCCCACCTGAAATTCCAAGGCTCTCCGGCGCTTATCGGCATAGCTCTTCTGTCTATCCTGGGCCGCCTTAAGTCTCTCTCGAATCATTTTCACCTTTGACTTGGTGATCTCCACCAATTCCGTGCTCTCGAGCTTGGCCATGCCAACCTCATCCCAACACAACGGTGTACGACATCTTCTCCCATACAATGCCTCGTATGGGGGCATGCCAATACTTGCCTGATAACTATTGTTATAGGCAAACTCTACAAGTGCTAAATGGTTGTCCCAACTTCCTTGGAACTCCAATGCACAAGCTCTCAACATATCCTCTAAAATTTGTATAACCCGCTCAGATTGTCCATCTGTCTGTGGGTGAAAAGCAGTGCTGAACTTCAGTTTTGTTCCCATGGACTCTTGGAACTTCGGCCAAAATCGTGATGTGAATCGTGGATCTCTGTCGGATACAATGGTTATAGGAACCCCATGTAGCCTCACGATCTCATCCACATACAATTTGGCTAACCTCTCAAGTGCATAGGTGGTGTTGATAGGTAGAAAATGTGCACTCTTCGTGAGCCTATCAACCACAACCCATACGGCATCATAATTCTTAACTGTCCGTGGTAGTCCCACCACAAAATCCATAGTCACGTGCTCCCATTTCCACTCTGGAATGGAAAGTGGCTGCAATAACCCAGCTGGATGCTGATGTTCTGCCTTGACTTGCTGACAAGTAAGGCATCGACTGATGTACTCGGCTATTTCCCTCTTCATACCAGACCACCAGTAACTTTCTTTCAAGTCACGATACATCTTCGTGCCCCCCGGGTGCATGGCATACGCCGATGAATGGGCTTCCTCTAAGATGGACTTTCGGAGCTCACTATCTGACGGTACACACACTCGGTCACGAAATAATAAGAG